GTATAACGTTTTGACTTGTACCTGATGATGACACCTTGTCGAAACGTTGCGCATTTGCTGTTATGTTAAACTTATATTAAAGTTTTTCTTCACTACCCGTTCAAGCCGTCACCAAGCATTATCACGACATATGGAAGCCTTTCAGTGTCTTGAGAAACCTTAAAGTCGTGATGACTGTTGTTGGCAGAACAGTGGGAACCTTTAAAGATGCGTGTGTCGTAATAAATAAAGATCTCGTTGATATAGACTGATTAACAAACGTTTAGTCTTAACAACGAAGATGAACCAAAAAAGGGAACACTGGGCCTTGTCTAAAGTCACGTGCTAATTAGACAAGGAATGACGTCGTAAGATGAAGCAACGTCATTTTGTTTCATAATAATAAGATATTAATTTTTTACCATCTACAAATGTTATTTAAACACAGGGCTAATATTCTTAATAAACCCCAGTCTGTTTGTGAAAACATAGTTCTGACAAACAACGTTACACGATTTTTCATGGTGCATAGGTCTTTAACAGTGTTAAAGTTGCAAGGAGAAGTTTGCTTTGGAAATGACAGCTTTACGCCGGGGCCTTTTGCAATGGAAATTGCACTGCAGGACTATTACCAATATAGTCATGTGACAGAGCATAACCGGAGGTGGAGACAAAAAGCTCCGAAATCGGTTTAGTATAACGTACTCGACCTCTCTACAGAAAAAGAAAAAACTCTGAATAAAAATATTCTATGATAAGGTTTGGTTTATCTGTTTCGTTTTATGTTAAGCACAAAGCTGCACAATGGGCTGTCGATGCTGTGTTCACAATGTCTATTATTAGGCTTAACCTGCATTAAACATGAGGTAAGATTTGACAAAAAAAAGTTGATGAAATAACAAAAAGTAAATATTTCTTATAGATTTATTTGTTGATGATTCAAGGTTCAGGGGTCATGACCTAAAACGTATAACGCTACGAGGAATACTAAAACTGTAATACAGGGAAATAAAAACAGGAAAACTTCAGTGTTCTTCTCAGGATTATAAATCCTGCTATACATTGAAATAAATACACGAATAACCAAGAGAATCGTAAAAAAAGTGAAAACTAACGTTTCTGGCATCTGTCTCCACACCAACCTCGAACACAGTTACACGTATAACCTTCCAGCTGACCTGGTCGTTCTAAGCACGTACCTCCATTTTCACAGGGTTGGTCTTTACAGGTTATCTGTGTAGAAAAACGTTTGATAAGTATAATGGCACATACAGGAAATACTATACATTTATATACCGAATAGTTTTCTTATTGTCACATTGATTCGCGAAGCAGGGAGAGATTTGTTTGTTTGAAGTTCAGCACAGAGCTACACGATGGGCTATCTGTTCTCTGCCCACCACAGGTGTCGAAACCTGGTTTCTAGCGTTGTAAGTCCGCAGACATACCGCAAATTAGGGATGGATTATAATATCAGAGAGAGAGCTTGTTTGTTTGAAGTTGTTAAGCATAAAGCTACACAATGGGCTATCTGTGCTCTGCCCACCACGGGTGTCGAAACCGGGTTTCTAGCGTTGTAAGTCCGCAGACATACCACTGTGCCACTGGGGGGGGGGGCAGAGAGAGGCATATTGGTCCGCCCCTGTAAGTCTGTCCACGTTTTGTGGACACGATATCTCAAGATTGGATTGGTGGATTTTGACCAAACGTATTCAACAGACACTACATACGAAGCTCTTAAACCCTGATTAATTTAGTCATGGGTAAAGGTCAAAAGGTCACCGGTACACAGAAATACGCTGTAAAGAGTTATCTTTAAAGTTGGGATTGCTAAATTAAGTATCAGAAAGTGAGATATGTCCACTGTAGGGAATCGAACATTAGATTTTAAAGATATCAGTCCACAAACGTGCCTTTCACCCACCTGAAGACATGAAACTGGCCCGGTGGTTAGGGCGCTCGACTTGTAATCTGCAGGTCGCGAGTTCGATTCTCGTCAGCGAACACGTTCGTCCTTTCAACCGTGGGAGCATTATAATGTGGTGATCAATCCCACTTTTCGCTGGAAAAAGGACAGCCCAAGAGTTGACTGTAAGTGGTGTTGACTAGCTGCCTTCCCTTTTGTCTATCACTGCTAAATTACGAAAGGCTAGCGCAGATAGCTCTCGAATAGCTTTGCGCGAAATTAAAAAACAAACAAAAAAACCGGAGGACATCAGATAGTGGAGGAAGATATCCAAATAGCATCTGACCCTCCCAGATCCAATCAAGATTCGAGACATCAGAAGGTGAAACTGAAGACGTTGTGCAATGTGTGTGTGTGTATGTGCAGTTGTCCTATTACACTTGTCATATACCACTCTTTATCCATTAACACACACACACACACACACATGTACATATACATATATATTGTTTTTTAGCAGAGTTCAAGAAAAGGAGGAGTGACGTCATGCCAACTTGGAAATGTATTGGTTAGCTTTCAAATGAATGTAACAGGTTTGACAAATTTCCGTTGTTCAATATGACAGGAATAAATCTGGAATATTAAATATAAAGCAGTTAGAAAGGTTTTGTTTAAAAAAACAACTTTAACTTAAAAGGGAGACTAATGGGGTTTGATAAAGTAGAATAAAAATGTGATATGAAAGTCGATTAGCAAGAAAATATCGAGTGGAAAGATGGAAAACAAACACGACAAACATTTCCAAAACGATCGGGTTATAAGTTTGTTTGTTTTTTTTTGTCAGGAACGGATCTCGAAAACGACTGAACATACACTTGGACTATGGCCCAACTTAAAAGTGATTACTTTATTTTTGGAGGGTGAAGGTCACGAAAATCCAAAACCCCCTATCTGTTAACATGAGAACTAATTTTTTACACTATTTTTGGCTATTATTACACTATTTTTTACACTATTTTTGGCTCTATAACTCAGTCAAAAATGATCAAATTTTGATGAAACTTGGTGGCCACGTTGTCCTGCCCATACAAAAAAAAACCCAACACAATCATGTCATTGGGAGTCACAATGTAAAAATCTTAAAAATTAAACCCTGATATCTTGGGTGGAGGAGATGTTTGGGGGGGAGGGGGCAGGGCTCTTTCCCATATCATCCCGATGGAAATACACACACACTGCGTTCACTACTAGTAACCGACATTAATTAATCCCTTAATTAACCCCGAAATGGACTCCATTATACCTGAGGAACTTTTGTATAATTTACATATAGTCATTGACTGCCTAATTACCGTCTAAATTTCTAGACTTATTAAAGCCACGTCTTTATATTTAGTTATGACTTTGTTGCTTCTAAAGTTTTAAAGTAAGTACAGTGTTTGGTGGAACGACTTCAGTCCTGTCTAATATAATCTTCCGGAGACTGCCTTCATTTTTGGTAAAGGTTGAATAGTTCTAAATTTTGAACGTATAATTTTCTTTCTGTCCTGTCCCCTACCTCTTTGAAATATACGAGAAACCCTTCCGTGACCAGCAAGTCATCACTTGGCCATTCCAAAAGCTGGCATTCCTTGGAGTCCGGGTGGTAGTTAAATCCACGACAGTCTTGTCCCCCCCAGCAGTAGCGTGCACACTCCCCTTCCAGGGTCGCTTCCCTCGAATTCAGGACGTGCTCCATTTGTCGCTGGTGGGTATGATATTTCACAAACACTTTCAGTTTAACTTTTTCACACCAGGTGGTCGTCACGAAGATGAGGACAAAAAGAAATAGAAGACACTGAGTGTGGTGTGACATTTTTCTTTCTACGCTTTATAGTTGTATATTGAGTTGAGTGTGTGTGGAATATCGAACAGCCGTTTTCACACAGTGTTCGCGGATGTACCTAACGGTGACTTACAAGCATTCCTAACGTGGTTCAGTTTGATAACAACTCGGTTACACTTAACTTGAAATGACAAAGTTTTGATATTTCATATCAACAAAGTATCCGTGCTTTCATGCTGCCTAACTAACTCGCTTTCCATAATATCACGTGCCTCTTATACGTCATTCCAAAACGAATTTTTCATTGTTGTTTCAAATGTTACATTCCTCTCCCAGTTGCAGTTCACGTGTGAGAGACAACCTAGAATCACGCGTGTTTAACGTCACGATTTATTTAACATTCTACAACAACAAAATACATCCTGTGTTCGGTCTTTTGTGCTCAAGTATAAGATATTTATAGCCATGGAATAATGGAGAGGTGAAAATAAGAACTACCCCTGAACGCTGATCGAAATGTTTCTTCGGAGCTGCCTTTTGTCGATTTAAAGTTATTTTCTATTTCATTGTAAAATAGATAGTAACCCAACCCTATCTTTCTTTATTGTAAGACGTAACAATCAGATTTTTGTATCTTATACTACACGTGATGTGTTATGTACAATATTGTACCAATATAACTGCAGTCTGGCGTGTATATTAACGCTTGGCTCGAATACCCCTAGCTGAGATATTGTGGGAAAAATCAATTCAATATCAAGATGACGCTTCGAATGGATCTTTTGACTCGTTATTCGAAAACAGATATTTATGTTTAATTTATAGTCATGTATTTACAGAGTTGTTCACGATAAACGACTCTAAGCTTACATTGTGAACCCTAAATCCTAATCATGCAAAGAAGAGATCTTTATATTTTACCACCTAGTGGCTCAGCGATAAGTCTGGGGACTTATAACGCTAAAAATCAGATTTCAATACCTTCGTGGGCTTAACACAGATACTGAGCCCATTATGTAACATTGTACTTAATATCAAACAAACAAACATCTTTTTTTTTTTTTTATCGATAACGTGTTTCCTTTTAGATAAATCCCCCGGTGAGTCAATGGTACGTTTACGAACCTACAACACTAAAATCCGGGGTTCGATTTCCTGCGGTGAACAGAGTAGAAATAGCACATAGTGTGGCTTTGCGATAAAATAAACAAAAATATAGTTTTTTGCTAAAAGCACGGACAGCGCTGTATTCCACCACTAAGCCTAATCATTTGTAAACTATTTTTATAATAAAACTTCATATGTTGCTAGTTGTTTTCTTTTTCATTCTCGACTTTCATTAGAAGTTTCGCAGTTTTCAGAAAAATCTAAACCATTAAGTGAGAAAACCCGTTGTGTGTATGTGCGCTTTCAACTGGTGAATCGCTGGACCGATTGTTACCAAACCTTAGGGAGTGACAGTCGACTTTCGAATCTGAGAGGAAGTAGTTTAAAAACTTATGAGAAGTTTTAGTTTTATCAAAGGAAAAAGATCTATGAAAACAATGGATTACGCTGAAACATTAGGTTTTGGTTTCAGTTTGTTGAACCGGATATATTCAGTACGGATGTTTTACGGATTCTTTTTCAGATTCTAAGGTGTCAAGGGTTGGGCGTGACCTGATAGTAGGCGTGCCGAGACTGGGAATCCTCGGATTCATGGTAAGATCTCTGCACTTTTGGGCCGTGGGAGCGACGTAATAGTGCCAATCAAATTCTAATATTCGGCCAGACAAGAGTAACCCAAGAGTTGGCGGCGGGTGCTATTCGCTAGATGCCTTTCTTCTAGTCTCTTATAAGTTCCTTGTGAACTCATTTTTCTATCCTTCAGTTTGCTCTTTTGTTAAAGATTATAAAACGTGTACACTTGTATTGAATTTTTTTGTCGAAAATACTAAACGTAAGTGAGGCATTGGTCCATTTCTAGAGGCCCGACATGGCCAGGTGGATAAGGCGCTCGACTCACAATCTGAGGGTCGCGGGTTCGAATCCGCATCCCACCAAACATGCTCGCCCTTTCAGCCACCCACCGCCAACTCTTGGGCTACTCTTTTACCAACGAATAGTGGGATTGACCGTCACATTATAACGCCCCCACAGTGATTACTAGCGGCCTTCCCTCTAGTCTTACACTGCTAAATTAGGGACGGCTAGCGCAGATAGCCCTCGTGTAGCTTTGCGCGAAATTCCAAAACAAACAAACAATCTAAGCTTCCGCACTGTTGACAGCTGTTCATCAGAAGTCTAAAACATAATGGATCAAACGATACATAATTCATGAAAAGCCCAAAGTCGTACAGATTGAACAATGAATAGTTTATAAAACAATAACGGGTGAGTGGCCTGTACTATCAACAATAATAACAAACTGTATATCTCGCTCTAGTAATTCAACATGCCGGAAACCAAAAGAATTGCTACATCAATTTCTCTGTTCAGCCCACTTGGTGACAAATTCACGGG